TATCCCACCACCAACCCCATCTTCTCCGTCCTCCCTTTTTGCCGCAATCGACATGGGCACCAACTCCTTCAAGCTCCTTATCGTCCGGGCCCACCCCACCGGCTGTTTCCTCCCCCTCTTCCGCCGCAAAGACCCCGTCCTCCTCGGCCGCCGCCACTACCACCAAACTCCCACTTCTCCTTTCGCCATTTCCGCCTTCTCCGTGCTTCGCGCCCTCAAAGCCCTCAATACCTTCCAAACACTCCTCCGGGCCCACAACATCCCCACCACCCACACCCGCTGCGTCACCACGTCAGCTGTCCGCGAAACCGCCAACAAGTCTGAGTTCTTGGAAAACGTGAGGGAGAAGACTGGATTGGAAGTCGAAGTCTTGAGCGGAGAAGAAAAAGCCAGACTTGTTTATGTGGGTACGCTTCAGGCGTAGTCGGAGAAGACGGTGGCGGGCAGTCGGAGAAGATGGTAGCGGGCCGTCGTAGAAAAGCTTGTTCCAGTCAAGCTCTAATGGCTGAAAACAGAGGAAATGAGAAAATGAAAAACGGTGTATTATACTGGAGAAAATGAATCCGGCAAGAAGAACGAAGGAGCTCAGCCGGCAAGAAGGCTGAAGAATCTGGGCTGAAGAATGGCTGAAGAAGGGCAGAAAAAAACTGAGACAGGGGAGGCTGAAGGGAAAACGGGAGAGAAAAGGAAAATGAAAACGAAAATGGAGAAAATGAAAACAGCTTTTTTTCGTTTTCTGATTTCCACAAAATGACAAAAACGATTTTGTTTTTGTTTTTTAAAAAAATCTGCACCAAATGCGTTTTTAAAACCCGTTTTCAATTTTTTACTTTGAAAAACGTGAAAAATGAAAATGAAAACAGAAACAAACAGGCCCAAAAATAACATTAAACCTCAAACGACATGGATTGGAATGATGGTTTTTTAATGGATTTGAATTACGGTTCAATTTTATTTTAGTAATATTTCTCATAAGAAATTTAAAATTTAAATTTAAATTATAGTTTAAATTTATGAAACAAACAACACCATAGTAAGTTTAAAATAACTTATTTCAACAATAAACATAAAATTAAAATAGCAAAAACTTGAAAATGACGATAAACGGACAATCATAGCAATATCATACGAGATCGACTTAAATAAAGCTTCAAAACAACACTAAAAACGACAGCAAACTCAATAAAGGGTGTATATATATACACACACACAAAGGTATGTATGTATATATTACAACAACAACAACAACAAAAAATATTAGAGTATCTCCAAGACTTTAAATTAGTGTGCCATGCTAAATTTTCACGTTTGACTACGACTGAAACTCACTCTTTAATACAATATTAGTCTTGACGTTAAAATTAACCTATGCTATATTTAATGATAAATTTAAAAACAAATATAAAATATGCTAATTTTAATATTTAATTGCTACGTTAATAAAAAAAATATTAGAGTATCTCCAAGACTTTAAATTAGTGTGCCATGCTAAATTTTCACGTTTGACTACGACTGAAAATCACTCTTTAATACAATATTAGTCTTGATGTTAAAATTAACTTATGCTATATTTAATGATAAATTTAAAACATGATAAATTTAAAAACAAATATAAAATATGCTAATTTTAATATTTAATTGCTACGTTAATTCATAAACCTTTTAATATAATGGTTACAATATTTACTTTTTTAAATTACTTTAAAATTAAAAGTGAATTTTTACAACTTTCAATCCATAATTATGATCACAAAAAGTACTTTATCTAAGAACATCTCTAATGCAATAGTATTGATGTGCTAATTGCAAATAAAGCATTTGAGTGGAAAAAAACTCTCCAACGTAATATTATTTATTATGCTAAATTTTTCATATGCTATATTTTATGAAAAATTTTTCATTAAGTATAGTATATGAGAAATTTAACATTTGATTGCTATTGGTTGAAATATTTATCCTTTCATGTAACCATTGCAACTTTTACATTTTTTTAATTATTTTAAAAATAAAAGTTTACTTTTACAACTTTCAAAGCCTAATAATTATGAGAAAAATAGATTTAGCATTTCAAATAGCATTATGTATTAGAGTAAAAATGAAAATACCATACCATATCACACTTTTTGATGCCAAATATAACATTAGTATTAACATTTAGAGCATCTTCAATCCAATGCTATAGTTGATGTGCTAATTACAAATTTAGCATTTGTGTGTAAAAAATACTCTCAAATATAATATTATTTATTGTGTTAAGTTTCTTATATGCTATATTTTGTAATAAATTTCTCACCAAATATAACATTTAGAAAATTTGACATTTAATTATTATTGTTTGAAATGTTTACTTTTTATATAATCATTATAATTTTTACAACTTTTGAAACTTAACAATTATATAAAAAAATAAATTTAACATTACGAATATATTTAAACAAAAATAAAAATAATATATTATATCACATAAATATACAATTGATATTAACATTCCAACGGTCTTACCTTAGTTTACAAAAACGTTTGCGCATGGCAAATTAAAGTGTCGTACGGAATATACCGTCGTATTACAGAAACAAATGTCGTTTTGGTTTTTAAATTGGAAAACACAAAATTAGAATCACGTTTGCTTAAGCCAAACAAGAAGAAGCAAGGAGCTGCTGTAGAACAGCATAGGAGTTTCCATGGAGTTCAGACCTCGCGATTACTCCGCCGAGGAAAAATCCCACGCGCTGCCTCGCACACGCTCCGCCGATCATCCTCTTTCACCTTCACCATCTCCGTCTCACCTCCAGGTCTATAGTCATATCGATGATTTTTGTTTTTTTGTTTCAAATTTTCCATTTTCTTCCTTCTTCTCTCGTCGCTGATTTTAAGCATCCGTTTGGCTGCCAAGAAAGTGCAGTTAAAATTTTCTGACTTACATTTCTGCTAATTAAAAGCTAACGGTACAATTATCAGATAATCGCTTCCAAACTAGAAAGCGAAGTTTGATTGAATTCTTCTTCACCATCCAATCAAGCAGTGAAATAATCGAAAAAAGAGACAAAAAGTTTAATTTTTTTTCCCCAATTCGACGGCACAAAATTGAACAAAATTCAGAAATTGTTGACCAAGTTCAGTGATGCTCTTCAGATTGTCGCTGTGGACCAAGGAAACGACGACTTCTTTGATCCTTTGAGAGCTTCGGACGACAATGGAGCTGTCTCCGGGATCGTTTCGCAAGATTCCGAAAGTATTTCCGATGCAGAACTTCCTAGAGCCTCTCTGCAAAACCACGAGAAAGAATGGACCTCTTTCAAGAGATTCTTAATGCAGAGATTTCCTGTCTCAAAAATGGTTTCAGTTTCTTCGGTAATCACTTTTTTTTTTTTTTTTGTTCTGATTATACTAGTTCGAGATTTCACATTCTGCTTTCTCTTTAAATCTGGTATTTCTTAGGTCTGATTCTGTGTTTCAATTCATTTTAACCTCTGGAAAATTTTCATTTTTGTGAGGAAATGTACGGTATCCTCCTCTTTATTTCAATAGAATTCAATGTCTGGTCTTATTTTTATGAAGTGGTAATATGATTACGAAGCAATACTTTATATTGAATTTTACTAAAATTCATGTGATTATATCGCAATTCTCTCTTTTCTAGTGTGTATTTAGTGCTTCAGTTTTGATCTTTCCTTGTCTTTTCATTTTTTTTTTCTTTTGGAAATTGCAGATGTCCGATATGATAATAAAAGGTGGTGGAACAAGTATGGAAGCCTATCCATTTTTCTTCTCTGATTTTTCTTTTCCTTTTTTTTTTCTTAATAATGTTTGTTGTTTTCTATGGAAGTTAAATTTGGTCAATGACAAGCATTAATTCCATGATCAGAGCAATTATTGTCTCTTGCGTTTATTAATTTACTGATATGCTAATTCGTAGCACATGAAAAATCCTCAACAAGTAAGCATTTGGAAGAACTGGAAGACCCAGAAAAGTTCTCAGAAGAAGGTGCCAAAATTATAACACGACAAGAGTATGTCTCCCGGTTACATGAGCTCAAAGATGAAATCATTCGTGCGTGGAATGTTGGTGATCGTGTCACGGCTTTGAAGTTATCTATAAAGGTTATTTTGTTCAAATTTGTTTCCTTGGTAGATTTTTCATTTTTGCAATCAAGTTTGTATGCCTTTAATTAGGCTCCTTATTCAATACCAATATATGGTGAAGACACTAGTTTTCTTACCATTTGTGACTTCACCTATAAATCTCTGATATGCAACACTTGATGTGTCTATTTCTTGAATTTTTTTTATTATTATTTTTTTATATTTATTTAACACGTCCATTTAGCTGGTGTGCAAAGGAAATTATTCTTATCCATTTGCTGCAAGACTTTTATCTCTCTTTATCGTAATATTTAGGACCACATATACCATTAGCATACAAGATTATGTGTAATTTTTTTTTCCCTTTCTATTACAGTATTACTTGAAAGCATTATCCAACTTTGAGAGCAATTCTTGGTTCTGCAGGTTGCTAGGCTTTTGTTAGATACATCAGTGTCACAATTTTACGGCACGGTTTTTGTTCTTGCCACTGATGTCATGGACATGCTTGGGGATATGGTATGGGAACGCATCAAAAGGAAAGCTGAATTTTCAGAAGATGGAACCAGATTGTGTTCTTTACCAGGTCTTTCCATTTGATTTCTTTCTTTCTTTCTCCAGTTACTTTTCTGTCAACAGTAAAGCTACTGATACATTGTTATGGTAGTGCAGTAAGTTGAATAATTCTTGATACTACATATTAGCTTGTTTAGGTTCTATAGCAGCTTGTGTTGACATACTGCTGTGCTGTATTCTCATGTCAATATTCCAGAAAGTGTCATCTCGCTTGGATTATAACTCTTGTTGATTGAGGAAGTAAATTATTCATAATTAAAATGCTCCCAGTTTTAGGCACCCTTTGATTTATAGCAATAGTGTATCTCGATCTATTGATAGCACTTTTTGATAGTGCTAACATTATTCATTACTGACAGATTAAAAACTGCACATTTCATAAATTGGAGAAGAGGGTAAATAAGCATCCATGAATTGATAATGTGTTATCCATACCACTTTTCTTATTACCTTGGTCCTTTTTCGTTCTTACCAGTTATTCATATATCATCTCTAGGTTTGGACAAGAATGTTGGCTCCGTTACTATGTAGCAGCTTCTTGCTTTTTCCTGAAACTCCTTTGCAATTTGTGGCAGAGAATTTCAAAGCAAGTGATATTTGCTCTGATGCCAAAGAAACCTGCAATAATTGGTTTTGCAAAATTGGTGCTGTCCGAGAGCTTCTTCCACGCATGTGAGTTCCATAGCGCGCACACACGCACACACACACACACACACACACACACACACACACACACACACATATATATATGTATTTTTTAATCCTCTGGAATGATAATTATTGCTTTCTTAATTTTCTAAGCTTTAGGATGTACTCAGTTTGAATAAAAAGAAGTTAAATCTGAAGAAAGAATTAGGAAGCTAAAGTAATAAGGAAATAAAGAAAGCTAATAAGGGGATGACCTCTACTGTCCAAAGGAGAGAAGAAAACCTCTTTCTTGTGATATCTGAGAAGGCATTTAGCCTACCGGGTTTTCTTAGCGGCAATGAAACGAATTCCTGAAAAAAAAAACAAGAAAAAAGAAAAAAGAAAATCTAAGCACGGGAGTTTTGAAGAGTGCTATAATGCTATATTCTTTGAACTTGATTTGATTCATGTTGCAGTTACGTTCTGAGAATGTTACAGATGCAACTTCACCTTAAGTAAGAAGTGACCATATCATCAATGATACCCGACTTTTAAAAAAAGAAATTTCCTCTACTATGTTATTTGTTAAGAATGATGTTTACTTGTGGTTAATACGTTTGTAACTTGTCTTAACATTTGTATTAAATAATAAAACATATGAGCTTCCTAAGTTTTTGGACTGACGTATAACTTTTGAACTAGTCTGATTATATTTCTTTCTTACTTTCTTTCTTTTGTTTTACATAGGTTTATTATACGTCTCGTCTTTTCTGGTGTAAATATTTGCTTAATTATCTCTCTATCTCTGAATATGGTTCTTCTTGGTTGTTTATCATGTTGTATTTTAGTTACCTGGAGCTGGCAATATTGCCTTGCCGATGTTTCTTGGATGAGAGGCCTCAAGACTGTTTCCAACGCTTGGTAATGATGATAAGAGGGCTTGGAGATCCACTAGCATCTGCATATTGTCGTCTATACTTGGCACGTTGTATGCGGAAATTGCCTTCTTATGATATTGGTAAAGAACTGCTTCATGAATGTATATTCTTTTGGATACCCTGTGATTGAGCACTAGGAAATAAGAGGAAGGAGATTATTAGAAAAGTTGCATAGAAATTTTGGTGAGATATATGCTGGAAGGGGGTGTGGACTGAAGTTCTACATTGACCTCATTGACTGATCTTAGTTTGAAGTGCTGTAACCCTTCATTCTGTTTTAGACATATTAGCACGCTTCTTTGAAATATCCCTAGGGAAATGAGTCTATATAACTTTGAAAATGTTATGGTTAGAAATTAACTTAGTTGCGTATGGGATTATTCTGTAACAGCATATCTAGTTAGATCTGTTAACGACATCAAAATGCTATTGTCAAGGATCATACCGGCAAAGGGCGCTGTGGTACGAAATATTAAAGACAACAATAGATTGCTTGTCAGTCTGATGGAGCCAACCATCGAGTTTAGTATGAAGTGCATGTTTAAGGATGCATCTCAGGTATGTTACGGGGTTTGTGCAGCAGTGATGCCCGTCTTTACATATACGTAGCAAACGAGTGTGCTATTGCATTATATGGTATCCTTTAGGAACACATGCTCAAACTTTTTTAACTATTAAAATTGCTACATGTGAGGATTATATCGATATCTTATTCATCTCTTCTATAGTCTGAATTTCTCATAACATGAATTTTCTTTTTAGTATTTTTAGTTTATCAAAAGAAAAAAAAAAGATTAGTGCTTTCACATGATTTAAGTTTTAACTAGTTTGTTATCAGTTGGTTGGCATAATGGTTGTTTATATTTCTTTAAATCTTTATCAAAGAGGCAAGTAGGTAAAATACTCATGGAGCTTGGACTGGGAAGAAATGAAGAGGAGTTGTTTGGAACTTTTCCATGTGTCTCAGTTGTTCTTCATCATCTACTCAAGGAACTTCCAACTGAAGTATTTAGCTCAAGTGCCGTGAAAATCCTTCATGTAATTGAATGCAGTAATGATAATTCCTTTAATCAGGTATAGTTTGCCAACTGACAGAGTACCATTTTTTCTTCTTGAACTTCTAAAGGACAAAAATTTCAGTAATTAGTGCATCCTTGACTGGGACCCACTTCCTTATCTTTAATCTTCAGTATGAAGCTTTGCCCTTGGGTCTTGGCTCATGTGTCAAGGGTGTCCTAGGGGAAATTTAAAACGCAAACATTCCACAAAAGTAGAAAGATGGAAAATTCTTCAATAAAATGATACTGAATTACCTCTCTTTTTGGTTGAGAAAGTGCTTGAATTACAGGTTACTTGGATTCAGGCTTTATGAAAATAGATCTCAAACAGAAAATGTCAGTGCTGTGGTGGATAAAATTATCCAGGTACTTGAGTTCTGTACTCTAGTTTAGCTCGACTTCAGAGTTTGATTAAGTATATATTTTTTTGCTGGTTTATTTTATTTTGTTCAAGTATCCAAGCGTACCCTTTAGTAGATGACGTAGTTATATGAAAGACTCGCATTAGTTTTGGCTTTTTCATTGCTCTATAAATCATCTGTTGCTTTCAGGCTGATATATGTTCCTTTTATGGTGCTTGTTCCTCTAGGTTGTTTATGAGAATATTGTCATTCAACCAATATATTGACATACAGATACCTATTTCAGGTTGCTAATCAGTATGAGAACTTTGATGAGTACTTGAAGGTTGTAGATGCTTTTGTGGATATTATTCTTGAAAATCAGATGGTAAGTGGATTTGGAGACCTTATGATGCTTACTGTGTGTATGTTTATGTGCGTACTAGGTTAAGAATCTTTGACTTGAAAGTATCTGCAAACGACCATGTCTCCTTATGACATTCGTGTAGTTACACTGATATCTTCGAATTTATAACGTGATTGTATCATTATTAGGGTTTTTAGCACAATTGTCCCCTCAACTTGTCGTGGTTTAGCAAATTGCCCCCCATACTCTTAATTTTGATAATCAACCCCCCGAACTTGTAAAATTGTCGCAATGTGCACCATTTTACTAAATTTGCTGTTTTTTTTTTTAAAAATAGTTTAAGGGATTGAAAGTTGAGGAATTGAAAAATTTGCATTACATTTGAATTCGGATGTTAGAATTTTTCATCGAACGTGTTTTTTCGACACTAATTTAACACAATCATTGTCAAAATGGGGCATGTTGTAATAATTTTACCAGTTGAGGGGGCAAATTGCCAAAAATAAAAGTTCAGGGGGCAAATTGCTAAAGCCATATAAGTTCAGGGGCAAATGTGAAAAATATCCTTGTTATTACGATGACCCTTTTCCTACGCACAAATATTAGCTATATACTATCTAAGTTCTCTCTGTGGATCTAATCATTGATTTCAGGATTGCCATCTGAACATCATTTTAGAAGGTATTTCAAGGCGGGCATGCAGTACAGGGACTGCTGAAGATGAACAAGCGAGTTTGCAGTCCATCTTGGTCAAACTTCTTTCTCATCATAATCGTATTGAAGATGTGGTTGCTTTGGTAAACTTCTCTGAAAAATTTTCCTTTATTCTTTCTTTCTTTCTTTCTTTTAACTCTCTTTGTCATGTCTTATAGCAGAACTTTCCCAAAGGGATCATAAAGGCTCATTTTGCTTTATTTTCTATTTTTGGATGGTCTTAAGATTTAGAATATTGTATCTTATTAAACTGCCCAGAGAATTTATCATATATTCTCTATGCAGAATCATTTTCTTGAGATCTTAGACATATTGTACGGAAGCTCAAGGACCATCGTCAATATGCACATCCTTAATATGGCTACAAGGTATATCCTTGATGCTCTTGCTGTTCACAGGAAATTGAGATTCATACTGTCTACCCTGCACAAGACCAGCCCCTTCATGCCTTTTTTTTGTTTGTTTTTATTTCCTTCCTTGTAAAGCCCATATGAGTGAAATACTTATTTTTCGAGGGTTGTTTCATTGGGCAGGAATGGTTATATATGTGATCCAACAACCATACAGCTGCTTTTTGAAATATCTCAGGCTCTATATGACGCTATAGACTTTGTGAATGTGAAAGATGCTGATAACCAACCTGGACGTTTGATTTCCCGTTTTGTTAATATGGTAACTAATTTCAGCTATTCCCTTTTGATTTTTTTAATTGTAGCAATTGATGTGGGATATTTGCTTATATCTTCCTCTGTTTTCAGGTTGATTATGGGGTAGAGATGGAACGTCATTTAACATTTTTAGTTGAATGTCGTGGAGCTTTTGGGGGCATAGATGGGCTAAAGGTCTGTAGTTATTTTCATTTCTTCTGCTACCATCTAAAATATTGTACATCTAATTGTTATTTTAGAGATATCACGAACCAAATTTGGTCACTTGTGGGTGGAGGATAGCTCTACAAGTCTTGATGTAATTCTGTTTGCTGCAAAAACTATAGATGGATTCTTGTCTCTGTCCATATTCTGAATTTGAACAAGTAGTTTATCTTTTATTTATTTGCAGGAAATTTTAATTCACTCCAGCAATTTTTTGGCCGTCAAAGCTTTGAAAGACGGCAGCAAACATCACAGTTTCATCAAATCGTGCATAGCATTTGGTGAAGTCACACTACCTTCTATTTCATCTCAGATTAGTCAGCTAAATCTATACCTTGAGACTGCGGAGGTAATTCTTGTAGTTATTATGTTTTGTACCAGCTCAACAACAGTTCAACATTTTCGCTTCTTCGTGTGCCAATCTGTTCAGGTTGCTTTATTAGGTGGCTTAGTATCTCATTCAGAGGGACTACTAAATTCAGCAATCAGCTGCTTGCAAAGTTTAGATAGGATGGATGGTTAGTTCATCTCTCTGTCATTAGAGTTCCTGAGAAATATTAGTCATCTTATAGGATTATTATTCAAGATGTTTCTTCGAAATAGACTTGAAGATTGGTTATTTCCAACATTCAAATTGACAACTTTATGCTAATTCATGTTCATGTTTCTTTGGATTTGTTCTTCCCATGATATGCTTTCCTAATTATCTCTCTTGCTAATTTTGTTATTTGCCTTCTAGATTTATACACGTTTATATGACTTGCCTTTCATTTTATGTGATATCATGGTTATTTCACTTTTTTATGATTGCATAGGCTCAAAAGTGCCAAAAGATGTTGATTGGATACTCTCCTTAGTTCGCAAATTATGCAGTCTCTTGGTTATGATTCCAGGTGCAGAAATCTAATTTATTTTATCCTGCTTGTAGGTTTGTGTTTCATCTGTTTCATTTAATTGATAGTCCATCTATAAGCGAAGAATCATGTCTTTTCTTATGTGAAGGTAATACTGAGCTGGGAGCTACTTACTTCCTCAACACCATTTTAGTACTTGTAAACTCGCAGTCATGGTAAACTACCCATTACATATTTTTTGACATTATGATTTTCCATGTCCTTGGTCCTGTCAACAAATTTCCTTTGCGGTTCGCGTGTTGACATTTTAAGTTATTGTTTCAGGGCAAAACCGAAAATGAGGGCAAAGGCTTTTTGTTCAATAATTTCACTGTCAGCAACCTTATCTCAAAATAAGCTTCCTTATCGTGTTGATCATGGAAAGGTAATAAATAATGAGAAGTAGGTCAGACCATGTGAATTGCCAGTTATACATAGAAATTAAAACTATTCTATTTGTCGAAGTTAAATGGTGTAACCGTCATTTAAACGATTTGAGAAAGGGCTTTGACATAATGATTGTTTTATTGTCTGTAGAAAAGTAACTCTCCCATTTAGGGGTTGTACAAGCTTCTAATTATCTTATGAATGGTGTGATTTTCCATTTTAATTCTTCAGGTTCCAGGAAATGACTATCTATACTACGGCGATTTATCATATTTACACGAACTTGCCTCATTTTCGAAGTTGGTTCTTCAGCACCTGATTGATTCTATTCAACAAGAACCATCGTTGGTAAATATAGCTAATTTTGAACGTAGCCACTTTTATTTTATTTTTTTTCATTTTTCCTATTTTGCTGTTTCTGATTATGATTGTACTTTCGTAAACAAAGGCTGCTCGTGGAAGCCTGGCACTTGAAGCTTGCAACTGCATTGCATCATCTTTTGCTGTAAGCTCCCCGAATACCCGACTGTACTTTTTCTGTCTTTTATTAAATTAACTGCATGTACTTGAAATCTATGATTGTTGAGCTCTCTTACCCATGTCACCCAAAGTACCAATAAATATATATATATATATATATGAATGAGTTTTCAATAGTTACCACCGATCTAATTATAGAAATAAATGCTTACCTTATGTACATTTTCTGACGGGGTTGTTTAGTTAAGGGATTCGTACCCCGATTCGAATCATGATTCATGATTCGCTACAGTATTTTCTCTCACAAAAAATACACGCAAATCGAAATAGTTCTAATCTCATGATTCTAATTCATGAACTAAACGTCTGTGTTTTATGACTTGCTATAGCAAGTAAATCAACAATATAGCCTTAAGCATTAATTATAAAGATTATTATGTGCTCCCGAAATTTATATGTATCCAAAGAGGACTCAAGTTTTGTGCAAGTTATATTGTCTTTATATAAATCTTTGAAGTACACTCCTCTTTTTGTGTTCACTTCTCTCTCTCTCTCTCTCTCTCTCTCTTATTTTATTTGCTTGTTTTGCAGCCAAGTCCAGAGATATCTCTAATCTGCTCCAAACTGATGGAAACGGCCAAGTCATGTTTGAGCACTAGGGACAGATACCTCCATTTGACTTTCAAATTTTTGGACAAATACTTGCCTTCTTCTGAGGTGGCGACTCAGATTGCTGCATGAGGAACGCACACATTGGGATTGCCTTGCCTTCAGTACATTATTTACACATGGTTGGCTTTTGGGGTATTCAATGTAAAATATTGTAATTCCTAATTGTTTTATGGTATTCGTCTCTGGCTCTTTACAGAGACCTTGTGTAGACAGATATTTTTTCTATTATGATATTGTTTTTTTTATTACGATTTACCAAAAAAAAAAAAAAAAAGCAAGTGAAAATTGCTAAACTTACACTTAGAATATATGAGTCCGGATTTTTGTCACACTCTTAATTGATACCATTTTGATTAGTACAGTTATTTAATTAAAAAAAATATCAATTAAGGGTAAGGAGTAAAAATGGAGACGCGGGCACTTTAAAAAAAATTTGTCTTCCTTTACCTTATCTAGAGGTATGCGTGTGTTTTCAAGAACTAAACGAGTATATGGTTCTCATGAAAAGTGAGCCTTGGTGGGGAAAAAAAAAAAAAAGGGATTGTCTGGCCTCAAACCGAAATGAACGACACTAAATTATCCAAACTGAAACGACAAGTCGTTTACAGATTTAAAAGTTTGCAACTTGTCTTTGGCTTTGACTTAAGAGCAAACGACACGTAAGTGAAAACTATATGCGGTGTTTGCAAGAGGAACCCAAAGCAGATTTGAGTTTAGACATAATTTTATGTAAAATTTTTTTATTATAGTAGAAAAATTAACTATAATTTTTTATAAAAATTTTTAATTATAATAAAATTAAAATTAAAAATTTAAATTAGTGAAATAAATAAACACTTAAAATACATACCACATGTCGTCTAATCTATTTGAGAAAACTCCAAACAGTAAAACGACGTGTCTCTTTGTCCTTCGTTTCTTGCAAATTACAAATACATAATAGTAAAAGGGTACTTCAGCAAACAAAACATTCTCTTTTATTCTTTCCTTTTCCTCTTTCTCTGCGTTTCTGTTCTATTCAGATCGATCGGAGTCGCAAAAAATCCCAATTTGAAACCCCAAAAACCACTTTCTCCCAATTCGCATCTAGGGTTTCCGCCATTTTTCTCCAAACGGTCGATCGGAAGCCATGGATCTGGTGGTGATTGGCCGCCACGCGCTTCTCTTCGACGACGACGCCAGCGCCGCCTTCGTCAACTCCAAGGAGGCTCTCGTCGAGTGGAACTCGCTCTCCATCGATCGCTACGACGTCCGCCACCTCCTCTCCGCTCCTCCGCCGCCTCGCAGTCGCCGCCGTCCGCCGCTCCTCCCCGACGGCACGCTTGAGTCCGAACTCGATCGCGAACGGTACCTCGATTTTCCGCCGCCTTCGGATGAGCAAGAGCAAGGTAAGCAAAGAAAAAGAAGAGCAAAGATTGAAACTTTTGCTTAATCTGATGCGTTTTTCATTTCATTTGACGGATGATTAAGTTATTAATTGATTATTTGTGTTTTAGAAGAAGATAAAGGAGGAAAAGATTGGATTTTTTAGTTCTAAGTGGAGTTCAGAAAAATGAGATCGAAAATTTTGCTTAATTTAGTAACGAACGATAAAATTATTGATGATTCATTGATTTTTTGTGCTTTAGAGGAAGATAATGTAGAGAAAAAAAATTGGATTTTGTAGTTCCAGGTGGAGCTTATATAAATGCAGATCGAATTTTGTTTTGACTGTTTTATGTGATGGCAAGATGCCTATTAAGTTGAAAGGAAAGTTCTATAGGATTGTAATCTGTCCGGCTATGTTATATGGTATTGAATGTTGGGCCATTAAGGTACAACATATATTTAAGATGAGTGTGGCAAAAATACGTATGTTAAGATGGATGAGTGGCCATATGAGAATGGATTGCATAAGGAATGAAGTTATTCGTAGTAAAGTAGGTGTAGCACCAATAGAAGATAAGGTGCGCGAAGACCGTTTGAGGTGGTACGGACATGTCCAACACAGACCGCTAGAAGCACTAGTTCGTGCTTGGAGGACATTCTTATACCTAATACTAGGAGAGGGAGGGGTAGACCAAGAATTACGTGGACCGAAGTAGTTAGGAAAGACATTCTAGATCTAGGCCTTCAGGAAAGTTTAATTTCGAACAGAGGTACGTGAAAAAGTGAAATCCATATAGCCGACTCCCATTAAGTTAGGATTAAGGCTTGTTGTTGTTGTTGGCAGTTATTTATCTTGAGCTGAATTTCTGGGGTTGAGATTAGATATGATCTGCTGTCTTTTGTGGAAGTGCTTATAATTTCTGTATAGAGCAGCTAGTTTCTGTGATTTCGAAAAGGCTTTTAGAGCTTTGAGAATTTGATAACTTGCTGAACTAAAGGTTCCGATTTGTGGTTGGTATATAATCGTAGTAAAGCTCTGCATAATCGTCGATATTTCTAGAGACACTCGATCAAGTGGACTTTAATGTTTTGGGACCGGGGGGGTTGGTTGTTAAGCCTATGACTGGCTTATGGGGTCAGTTTCTTGTTGGCAGCTTTGTTATACTTTTCCAAACAATTTTTCAGTTTGCAGGATGGAATATAAATTTGCAACAATTCATCTATCAGAGACACGAGTAAGAATGTTCTTGTTAATGATTTTTCCCCCTTGGTGTTTTTATATTTTCTCCCTTCGTGTTTTTATATTTTCTGTTGCTATCCCTGTTTGAAACTAGCTTCCTATTGTGTATAATTGGCTCCATTGTGGGTTACAGTGGTTTTGTTATTTTATATAAGTTTGATATTAAATATTCTACCTTGTATCCAGACGCAGGTAAAGATGAAGAACCGGTGGTTGATGGTGGCTACCATGCTATTACCTTCTCTTATGGAAATTCAGGTGAAGCAACTGCGCTGAAAAATGATGATGTTGAATCTGCTTTCCACCCGCCATTTCCTGTGCCAGAAAGCTTAATTCAGAACCTAGTAAGTATTTCACTCGTATTTTAGCCCTGCCGGTCATGGAATACGAATGTTGTGTGTTGGATGCTTAACCAATGTGGCCTGACCAGATGATAGTTCACTAAGGTGCATGTGTTATTCTAAGGCTTACCATGTCTAAGTTTCAGATGCTCGGAGCAGAGATGGCGTTCTTGTGATCCAAGTGGCTGTGCAGGTGGGATTAGGATGGTAGAAATTCCTTGAATCTTACTGCTTTTGAGCAAATCGGATGAGACATAACTTCATAGGGTTCTCTTTCTTGATCTTAATTGTTATTCAGATTATGTGAGGTTCTATGGGTTTATGTCAGGGTTAATTATTATGGTTTATTCTTGGTATTTATGTATATGAATTAATATCATTTGAGACCTTGCATATGTGAAATGTCTTAATTTTGAAATGGAAATTTGTTTCTCTTGTTTTACAGCCTCCCACGGAGAAGGTACATCAAATCATTGCACGAACTGCTATGTTTGTCAGCAAGCATGGCGGGCAATCAGAAATTGTTTTGAGGGTAAAACAGGGAGACAACCCAACATTTGGGTTCTTGATGCCTGACCATCATCTTCATCCCTACTTTAGGTTTCTTGTCGATCATAATGAGCTACTTGATGGGAAATCCCAAGGAGAGAAGAAAGATGATAACGGACCTAATCAGACTGGTGGTGCATTGTCTTTACTCGGTTCTGTATATGGGTCTGGAGAGGACGAGGATGGCACAACTGAGGATCTTCTACCTGAAGCAAAATCAGACAAGTCTCGGGAAACTGTTGATGCTGGTAGTATGACTGCTTCTTATGGAGGAGAACAAATGGAATCTTCAGGAAATACAACTGCAAAAAATGACGTCATTTCAAACCATTTGAAAGAAAAAGTGCATGTCATAAAACGGAATCGTAGCATTAACACAGTCAGAAGTTCCACTACATCAGAGACGAAAAGGGATGGGGATTCCTCGGGGTCGGTTGGTACTGCCACCAGCAAGTCACAGGAACCTGCAATACCTAGCACCTCCAAGGTTGAACTACCTGTATTGGAGCCTCCATCTGAATTAAAGAGAGTGGTTGAAAAGATAGTTGAGTTCATCTTGAGGAATGGTAAAGAATTTGAAGCTGTTCTTGCTGAACAGGATCGTAAGTTTGGAAGATTCCCATTCCTTTTGCCGTCTAATCCATATAATCCGTACTATTTAAAGGTCCTCCAGAAAACTCAGGAGGTAAAGTTCTGCACTCTTACTTCTGTGCGCCAATTTATGTCTTTTGCATAAGGTTTCTATTATATCAGACAGTTTTTTAAATCTTCACGTGTTAAGAGCATTAATTAGGGAAAGGGGAAATCTCGGCCGATATCGTACCCGCTTTCTGTAGTTACGATATCTGTAAACTTTTCCATTTTATACAGTCGTGTTGCTAATATAGTCTTTTGATGTTTGTTGATGTGTTTTCGGCTTGGTAGTTGCTTTTCACATTTATATGCTTTGATGGACATTGTGTTGTTCTCTATTTTAAGGATCATAATACATGACCATATGTTTTAAGTTAATAGGGGACGCTGTTGGATGAATAATTATAATTATCCTTTATCTCCCCATTCCTCTTTCTAGTTGTTTATTAATAATGTGAATTTCAGATAACGAGTACCAATGCTTAAAGGTCCTTTTTATTTTCAACAGTCTAAGTTAGCTGGTAAGGGCCGCGTTTCTGAGAAGCATGAGTCAATGGGGCATGGGATAGAAAAGAAAACTACAGTGTGTAGAGAAAGTGATGCACTTACCTCAGGATCTATTGATGCTGATATATCGTACGATTACGATAAGAAAGAGAAGTTTCGGATGGTACTTGGAAAATCCAAGAAGGATGGACAAGATCCACCTCCCAAAGTTAGCCAGCCACAATGTGAGTTTACTGTAGATGCAGATGCTGCTGCAGCTATCCTTAAGGCCGCTACAAGTGGCATTAAGAATCCAAGTCTAGAACTGTTCCCAAAACTATCAGGCGTTGGCATTGGTCAAGGCCCCAGCAATGAGGGCAGACAATCTTTAAGCCTTGGGAGTCTCCACACATCTCAACCTCAGAGTTCCGTCCAAAGGCAAACCACAGTTGGGGAGCCTAGCGTTTCTGTCCCTGTAGCAAAGGCCATGGCAGAGACGGCTGCAAGAACAGCCGCTAATGAGGCTGATTCATCTGAAGCATCCTTGACCCGAGAACAGAAGCTGAAGGCTGAGAGATTGAAACGGGCAAAGATGTTTGCAGCCATGGTAAAAAGTGGGGCCGCACCTTTAAAACCGGATCCATTGCGCAGCTTATCAGTTGAGCCAGCTGGATCTGGCATTTCCTCCTCAGGCAATGAGGTTGTGCATCCTGCTGGAAAGGAGAGGGAGGGGAGTTTGGTTCCGGCAGATGTTGACACTCTGCACAAGATCGAGAAGTCTAAAAAGATAACTCTCGTCGACAATTGCAATGAGCGAAGATCAAAGAGGATTTACAGGTCAAGAACTAAAAGAGATGATGAGGAGGAAGAAGAAGAACTGAAGGATGAAGAAGATGAAAGGGACCACAAGGACTCAAGGAAGAAGCATAGGTCTCATCGATTGTCAAGCCACAGTAGGGACAGGCATAAACACAGGAAAAGACACTCTTCCAAGGACATAGACTCTCAACACCGTCATAAGCATGACAGAGATGAGTACTCTGATGACGAGGATCAGCACTCTCAGCGTCGTCATAAGCACAACAGCTCCTCTGATGACAGTGAGCATCAATCCTTTAGGAAAAGGCGAAAGCATCATAGCTTTGATGATGATGAGCATTGTGGTTCTCGACGCCACCATAGACATGTGGACTCCTCAGATGACGAACATCGGCGTACTCGACGCAGACGCAAACACGGTGGCTCCTCTGATGATGAGGGTCAGCACCGGAGCAGATCCATTAAACATAGGAAACATCATTCCGAAAGAGAAGTGGAATTAGAAGAGGGAGAAATCTGTGCAAAGTCTGATCAATCGAAAGCAAATGAAAGTGAAGGAGCTAGTAGGGAAGCCTCTGTAGATTTATTAAAGTCGCATCGACAAGAAACCGCTCCATCCCAGCCCTCTGAAACCACGGAGGTCTCTGATGATTTAAGGGCCAAAATCCGTGCCATGTTGATGGCAACCTTGTAATAGTTGGAGGGCTACTTTTTATTACTATTAGTATTGTTTTTCACAACTATTGTAGTGACAATTGTCACGATTTCCATCATTTATGTTAATGCGTAAAGAGCTCTTTTTTTCCGTTCCTATACTGTTCTAATTTCGAAAATCTGATATGCGGTTTAATTTTGTTGAGAGAATGTCAAAACGATATTATATAATACATTTATCTGATTGGTGAACGGACGTAGGGATGTAAAAAATCTTACTAATTACTATTTTATATAACAGAGTAGAATTGGAAAATAAGATTGTTGCCAAATTACGGAGATGTTTGTTTCTTATTTTGAATCATGATTCACAATTACCTTGTTTTCCACACAGAGTCAAGGTAAAACGGAGCGGAGCCTAAGGGAGCCTCAAGGTAATTGATTTACAATTACCTTCAAAAAAAAGTTGTTAAAAAAGAAAAAACTTTGAATTACTATTTAACAAAATAAATTATTTTCACCAAGGGTGAATATCGATTTACATGTGCATATTTCTTATATATGGGAGCAAAATAGACATTTGACAAAGAAGGATAAAATATCAACCCAAAAATTTCATTTAACGTAATGAATAAAACATCTGAATACACGAGTAACAAAAATCCAGCATACAATTCATGCTGGTCAAATGAGTCAAATGTCCAGCAAGAAATGAAGAAATAACTAAAAACTAAAAAAATAAAGAACTTCTATGAGCATCATCAGATTATCTTCAAAGATAATCAGCAGCAATAATACTTTTCTTCTTCAGACTGATTCCTCTGGCGAGACAACTGTTGATCCACTAGTTTGCTGCTCCAAATTCTTTTCTGAGCTTTGACTTTTCCTCCTCAAAACGACATACCAAGTGAAAGCTTCCAAAACGACAGCAACACAACCCAACGACACAATAATCCCAGTATAAGCGTCTCTCCAAAATTTTCCTGGCTCCAATATATCCAATCCTTTGTACACGTTAAAGACGCCAAGACCAATTGTGGCATACCCAAAAGCATAGTGAAACACATTCCAAAACACCCTGTATTCATGTTCTTTCTTAGGCCTCAAGAAACCACCAACCAATGCTTGAATCGTTGCGAGGGCAAAAATAGTTCTGCCAATACATCTGTGGCCACTGTACTCAATCCCTGCAGATTTAGCGCCGAGCCAAAGCCCTGTTCCCCATCCGACTACTCCGACGAGATAACCCGAAAACTGACACGTCACATGAAGATAAAACCAAGCCGGATCTGCCGCTTCAAAAACCTTAACATGCCTAGCTATTATGGCACCAAGAGGCATGAGGAAACCCCAACTGACGGCGTTGATTATTCCATGAACATTCTTCATTGTAGCCCTAGAATCTCTTTTGCTTTCTTCCACTTTTCCCGAGAGAAAGTCGATGGTTCCGAACGACCAGAGATTAGGACCGGACAGTTCATGCATCGCCGGAACATCCCCGGAAACTTTTCCTTCTTGCCAAACTTGGTTTACCACAGTGGCATTGTAAGGCAGTTGTAGAGTCGCAAAGATGAACATCTCATCGTTTTCATAAGAGGCGGAGATATCAAAAACAGATAAACTGAGATTACCCTCTTGAAGCTGAGTCCCGTAGCTCGTTAAGGGAGAAGTGTAGGCCGAAACTCTCCCATCGGAACGTTGAAGAGCTATCAGAGCCTGCGAACCGACCATGCCTGTTGAAGTAGGGTTTATGGCCCACCCGATCCACGACGATCTCGAACCGCTCAAACCCGATTTTCGATAGGCGATTTCGACTTTTCCCGATGAAGGAATGTAGTTCCAGTGGAGGGTCGAGTCCAGAACCGGAAGATCATCACAAGCTGCAAAGGTTTTTTGGTTTGGAAATCGGTTGGTCATGCATGGTTGTGAGAATATGGTTGAAGAGAAGGATAAGAGGGCAAGAGTGAGAAACAAGAGAGACGTCATGATGAAAATCTTTGTCACGATGATCTCGGAAACACTTTATTAGAGTGATCAAACTGATGAGAGAAACAGAGAATGAAGCAGACACTGATTGTGAGAGAACAAAGCAGCACATGCACACACACATATATATACACAGTGGAGAGTAATCCTAGTCCTTGTACAAGTCCAACCATATCTCTTTATAATATTATTAGATTAAAAACTGCAAAATCGTATATGATTGGTGTTTTTCTAATCATGATTGGAAACAAATAACAATCGATTCCTTTTTTGTTTCTTTTCTGTTTTTGTTTTTTGTTTTTTGTTTTTTCCTTTTTGGTGGTACGAGAGCATTTAAAACTAATAATAAAGTGTCAACATAAGAGTCCTACTCCAATTCCATTACGGATTCTTTAGCATTTAGCATTCAAGTTTGAGACGTCACTTTTAGACTCTTTAGAATGACATTACTTGAACATGACGGATTCAAGATTTGAAGCATAACTTTTTTTTTCACTTTCTGAATTTTTAATATAAATATATATCGGGAATCTTTTATTTATGTGATTGCAGACACAGCCTAATAATAATTCTACACTTGACTCCATTATAAAGTGATGAGTTCGAACCCCCCACTATCAAGTTCATTAAAAAAAACAAAAAGAATCTGCCATCCACGGCATAAGGCTATGGGAGACTATCTGGCACTAGAAAGAGAGAGGACACTCTTATCTATAGTTTTGTCAGGTAAATGACAAGCGAAAAAACGACAACATATATAAAGAAACGATAAAATCGCTAAAAGAACAATAATTACTTTGAAACGACGACAAACGAAAACGAAAGTAACTTTATAAACGACGTAAATATTTTCGAGCAACTAAACAATCAGAAGAACGTCGATTAGAATAGCATTTAAGCATACGAAGCGACAACAAATTTAAAAAACGACAATAGCAGAAAAACAAATTAGAAATAAAACATATTAAAAACAAACCCCCTAAACGTGATGACAAGAAAAGACAGTAACTCATTTTAAAAAGAAGGAAAATAACTTGGAAAAATACAGCAAGGATAATATGACTAAATTCAAAAAACGAAAAATAAAAACAATTGATACACACACATATATATACATGCGCTATAAACCTTTCATTCATTTTGTTTTGACTTGTTCTTCTAATTGCATACATTATTTTCCAAAAAAAAAGTAAAATTATTGTTGTCTAGTATGTGGATAGTAATTCATTATATTGAACGCAGGATATGTAGAGATTCAAAAGGCAAAGGAATTATTTCTGCTTGTGCAGTCCATCTTTTTCGGTGAAATTGTTCCAAAGTTCATTGATCTCTTCGGAATACTTAAATTGATGTTCTTAATGATGTTACTCTATGGATTTTGTTATTTCTCATTCTTTCAGAGAGGCTAATACAGGCAGCTGCTGATTGTTTGGATAATTTTTGTATAATTTTCTGGATGTTATACTTGGTGGCATAATGCTCCAAGCTTTGTTCTTTGTGAGCTTAGTTTAGACACTTTTGGCTTTTACAATATACAAGTTCAAGGGTTGATGATTTTTCTTTGTTGTTTCTCAAATCTGATGTAATTATTTTCTTTTTCATTTCATAAAAGATTACAATAGTGATCTGTGACTTATTTTGATTCAAGAAAAGAAAATAGTGTTTTTTTTTTTTTTTCCTGTGAAGTGGAGACTCAACTTTACATACAATTGAATGAGAGATTAATAGTTTACTTGTGTATATATGGAGATAGACATTTTAAGTGGTATTGACAATAGAGTTATTATACAAGGCATATAAAATTGCGTCGAGCAGAATGATAGTACTTATAATAGTCATTGATTTTAATAAAATAATTAATAGTACAGTATTTACTAGGATTTTCTAGCAGAAATTTTTTTCCCTTTTATATATATTGTCACGTTTAATTATTATAGCAAATAATAAGTCATATATACTATTTCTGCCAAGTAATAGTCAAATAATTATGAGGGAAAAAACTTAATTTTACCCCCTGACATCGCCGACATCTTTAGACTAAAATCACAGTTTTCACACGTTGTAGTAATTATGTTTGATGTCTTAAGAATAAGACACGAGGAATACAGTATTTTTAGTAAGGTAAATATCAGCAGAAATAATTAACGCCAGTTATTTCTGTTGACAATCTGGTTGGTGAAGAAGAAAAAGAAGTGAAAAGGAAATATGTTTGAATTTTGTGATCATCAGCTCTCTTTTCTAAAACCTTTTGTAAGCTAGATGTCTTTGAAAATATTGTTGGTACAGCTCAAATGAGAAACTAGCTTCTACAGATGTAGGGACACGTGGTAATTATATCTTTTAATGCAGCTATAATTAAGACTTGGAATAAAGAAAAACAAACTACTGTGTTTTCTTTTCGTTGATCTTTCTTGAATAATTATCTTTGTTATATTATAATCACATATTAAGGGCTCGTTCATTTCACCGATTCGAGTTTTCAGTTTTAGGTTTCTACAGTAAAAAGCTCTCAGAAAATGTCACATCTAACTTTTTCTAATACAGTGAAAAGCTCTCAGAAAATGTCACATCTCAACTCGAATTAAAAACTCGAATTCGCGAAGTGAACGAGGCCTAAGTATTTTGTTTATTCCTTTTTTGTGTGTGTAGGAAATGATACAACGGAATGAAGATGATGGAATTTTACCAGTCCAATCTGAACGTGACTTAATCTTAAAAGGAAAAATCTCTAATTGGTGAGAACAATCATATCTTAATATTTAAATGTTACTATTGTTGGTTTACAAATCGAATTAGGATGCGAAAGTGTGAGACTAGCGGATCGTGTATATAAAAAATTTTCATAAAACTTTTGACATATTTTATAGATTATATTAATTTATACATGAATAAATTAATCACATTAATTTATTTAATAAAAACTCAATTAGGAATTATACCTAGCGGCCGATTAGGAAGATAACTTGAGTTCCTTGACCACGAACAATCCTTGCTCCAAAGCTTAATTTGTGTTTAGAAAACCAATGTCTTCCACGTCAATTCTTAGAATCCACAAAGACGTGTTTATCCTTGTGTGGCGCCAAATACAGATAGGGAAGGAAGAGAAAATCATCTTTTATCCTACAGTCCAATTTTGACTCAAATTCAAATTCTAATTTAAATCAAACTTAAATTTATTTGAATTTTAAATTGAACAACTTATCAAAGAAGTTTAAAATGATAAATTTAAAATTGTGTTCACACTGTGTGTTCACATTATGTGTTCACACTATGTGAACACCTTCACATAAGTGATCTAAAATTCAAATTTAAATTTAAATAATCACATTATTTAATTTATAATTAATTTTCAATTAATTATTTTCGAGTGTTTAATTTTTAGAATTCCGTAATTCTAAAATTCCCATTTTTGCCCTTGTATCTTGTAAGTTATTAGGACGATGCGGGGACTAATGAACCTATAATTTTGAGCTCCAATAAAATTAATAGTTAATTAAACACTTTAATTAATTAATTAATTAATTATATTAATTCTAATAGTTACTCTACTATAAACTTAGAATTGCACTCTCATAATTATAGACATAAATTATTTTTAAATTGTGAAGTGTCCATCTAATATAGTCACTGCATATAGATCAATCCTCTATAAATAATTCATAATTAGAGCTAGGTAAAATCCGTTAACCTCTCTAATTACATCTTTATCCTTGAGTACCATCGATTCTCTAATGGACAGCAATTCATAAAACACATTCATGAACCAGAGCGCTCTAACTAATCCAAGTACCAAATTAACACTCAAGAGAATTTATCCGATTCTTTCTCAAGAAGGAATGGATTCCATCTCGTATAATAACATTCCCAGCTACCTACTTCATCATGTCTCCAAAATATAAATAATAGGATTCATGATCTCAGAATCCGTACCGAGTAAATCAAAAGATACAAATCCATAAATATGAGTATGCTAAGAACTCAGGATTAATACCATTCTATATATGACCATCGGTAGACTCAATTATAATTTCTATACTTAACAAAAATTTATCAGAAATTCATATTTAGTCTATGTCCTTGCTCCACATAATCTTATTATGTATAATATACTCATTCAATATCTCACTGTATTAACAGTGCGGATAACATCATTCCATTCTAAATGGGAATAACATGCATTAGTAATATTTTAATTAAAGATTCTGAACTTTAATTAAATTTATTACGAACTTGATCACTTTTTGATTATTATCTTTAAACATTATCCTCTCGCATATAACACTTATATATAATGTTTAAGGTCATATAAATAATCACGGAATTTTTATTTAATATTCATAAAATATTCACAAATATATACACATAAAATGATGAATAAACTCTTTTATCAAATAAATAATAAATATCCTAATAATACAGCTCATGCTTCTGGGACACCATTCTCAACAACTATAATAATAGTTAATGTGGTTATTTAGCGCTCACATATATAAATAATAACAAAATACGTCGACAAACGATATAATAGATAAATAAAAATAAACTAATAACAAAATTAAAACTAAATTGATAAATAACAATGCAACTAAAAATAACGACTAATATAACTAGAACCTCCTACCTAATAATCTTTGATAGTCAAATTAGGACAAAATACGAGCACTGCCAAAATGCTAGATTGTCATTGACCAATATTGTGTTTTAATTTATCAAGGAAACTAGCTATTATAGGGATGAGTTTTCAATAGTTAATTAGTTTTTATTTTGGTTACCTACTCAATAATTAATTTAATGATGTGTCGTGATAAGAATTTAATCTCATTAATTATCAAACATTTTTCTTCAACTATTTAATTAATTACATCTATCAGATTAATATCTTACAGTTAAAATGATAATATCCACTAATTAATAAATATATATTAGAGTAACCATTAAAACGACACTCATATATGTACTTTTGGATCAATCTCATATGTATTTGCTCAATTAAAGAAAACAATATACAATAAATTTTACTTTTGGTGATTTAATCATTTTGTACCTCCATATCTTACAGGGTACTATTTAGC